GCTTCAGCGGGTGGCCCCGCTAGGGCCTGGAGTGCGGTCAGCATCTGCGGTGCCGACATATCAGGATCCAGGTATGGACGCAGCCTTGCGGCCCCTGGGCGCGACAGCAGGTCGTTCATGGTCATCTGCTGATGTGCTGGCGCACTCAGGAGCTGGATCGCTTCTGCGACCTGCTCTTGGAGCCTGTCCTCATAGTCCTCTTCGGCCTCTTCAGAGTCAGAATAAGCTGCGGGATGGCCCCGCATTTCGTCGTCAGCGTCTCCCGCTTCCGAGCCGGCTCGCGAAAGATCAGGCAGCAACGGCATGCCGATCACCTGCGGTGCCAGCGCGGCGGCGAGCTCCTCCTCGGTCGCCGGGACGGTCTCAGCTTCGGAGATCTCGTCGTCGGCGGGTGGCCCCGCTGGAAGACCGAACCAGGCGTTGAACGCGCCCTCGTCGACTTCGCCCCAGCCGTGGAACTCGTCGAAGAGGGTCACCGCGTACTCTTCCAGGGCTACGGTCGCATCAGCGTAGCGGGCCATCACGTAGTACGTGGAGGAGCCCGCGGCGGGAGCCGCTTCTGGATTGACGTAAAACTCGTAGTCAATGTAGTCTATGTCATCCATAAAAGAGTTTTGAGCCAAATGTACGGATCCCTTTCCTTTCCCCTTCGGGCAATGATCGCGCAAATGCTCTGTACTACCGCATGTATGACACTTCATAGCGTTGCCAGAAGCGTCCCTAGGGTTACCCCTCCGCCCTTTTCCCTTACCAGAGGTCCGCCTGTGACCCCGACCTTTGCCTCCGATAAGAACTTCCTCAAAAACTACATCAGTTAAGGGCGTGAGGAAAGCAGTGATACCCCTACCATGCATACGGCGTCTGCGACCCCCTTTGCCACGACCCTTTCCATAGCGTTTGAAATATCGGCGTACTGCACGTCTCACTTTTCTGACCGGTTTCTTCATAATGCGCCTCCAACGGCGTTTTGATTTGCGATAAGCCATAAAAGCGGCTTCCGCTCTTTGTTGTTCAGAAAGGTGAGTGTCATCAGCTGGATAGTCATTGCCAGCAGAGACCATACCATTGTGATCACCGTCAGATGAGGTATCTGTGTCAGTGCCAGATTCAAACGGAGAGGGTGGCTGAGACCCTTGAGCGGATGACTCCGCTTGGCCCCAGAGGGTTGTGCCCGAGGGCGGGCTTGCAGTGTAGGCGGCGCCCGGCGTGTAGTTCGACCAGGCGTTCGCCTCCGCTGCCTCTGCCGATGCCTGGCCGGTCTGCCCTAAGAGGGCAGTGGCCTCGTTGGGCATATCGGCTGAATCAGCCCAGGGACTTGGCTCGCCAGGACCAGCGGGTGACCCCGCAGTCGTGGCGTAGACACCTGCATGTGCGTGGTGCCCTGTGAAGATGCCCGCAATGTTGCCAGGAGAGCGCTCGGCAACATGCCCGTAGTTCCTCATCCTGGTCAGCAGCCTATCATAGTCTGCTTGCGTTCTGGGCATCTGATGATTGAAGGGCTCCAGCAGGTGTTGGGCTCGTGACGCGCCAACGCCTAACGCTCTGAAAAGGATCAGCGTTAGGATCTGAAAGTTGGGGATGACAAATCCAACAGAGTTAGCCTCGTCACGGGCCATCTCGAATCGAGCTAACACTGAGTCGATTCGCTCGCCCCTTTCGACGCGAAAGTCGATAAGGGCAGTGCCAGAGTTGAGCTGGCGCTCATCTTCCAGATTTTCAAATTTGGTACTCAATAGATAAAGTATATAAGTAACTGCATCCGTTCGCTGTCCGTTGACATTTACACCATGATTGATGATCTGGGAGGGGGCCTGCATGGCGATACGACGAGCAAGGCCTTGAAGACCACGTTGTAGTGCTGCAGCTTGCTGAGGTGGCGTCATATTGCCGCTCGTCACGTTTATCCATGCGTGTACTTCGCGAACGTACTCGCGAAAGGGCGTAGTACCGGCTGGGTCCCAAGAAGGGCCGGTAGTACGCGTGTCGTCCATCCCCTGCCGCATGTAGCCCACAGCACATCCCATTATCACCCATAGAATGCCGAAGATAGTTATCTTGATCCAGTGCATGTGCATCTCGGCTTCGGTGATTGGTTTAGGCTGTGGTTTGTCAGGCTCGGGCGTAGTAGCCGTAAGGCGCCTGACCGGCACGGGATGCAGGTGGCCCCGCTGCGGGTAGCCCCGCAGAGTGACCACGTTCTCGATCGAGTTGCCGATTGGCATCTGGTGGAAGTCGGGAGTGAAGTAGCGCAGTGAGGTAGGAGAGAGCGTCTCGAGCTCGCGGGTAGCCCCGCTAGCCCGATCGCGGACTGGCTCCGCTCCTCGCAGAGCCGGCGCAACATGGTATTCCACCGTAGTAGTAGTCCACCAAGTTGTGCCGTGGATGATGGGTATTAGAGCGAGAGCCAGCCACACGAGAGTGTAGCCAGCTCCGCTACCAAGTCGAAAACGCACTGGTAAGCCAAGATATATGTTCCGCCTTAGGCGCTCCCATATCCCAGGCTTTGGCTCATACCGCATGAGCAAGAGAGCAAGATGAAGCATGGGATCTGGAGTAAAGGATAGAAGGGGCATCTTCAATAGAAAGGTCTTTTCCGATCTCAGATGCGAGTAGTGCGCCTCGGTGAGGCACAATCACATGTTCGGCCGGGCCCGGCTTGAGCCAGGCACGGCAGCGGTGCATGCTCGATTTACATCTCGCCTTTAACCCTCTCCGTTTAAAGTCGAACGGCCTCTCAACAGACCCCAAGAGGCCCCCCAAAGAAGCATCTTGACGACGACTCTATTTCGCCCCATCGAGAGACGACCCCCAGGGAACTGCTTCACCATCAAAACTCCCCACGCAACGCGTCCGAACGACACCCGCCCCCAAGAGCGCAACATGGGCAACGAACACACAGACAAAAACCAGCGATGCCATATCACGGGCCGGCGGAATGAGCAAAGCGATTCAATAAGAAGAGGCGCCACGAAATCTGGGGAGATATCATGGCCCCCGCCATGATACAGACCTCGGAAAAAATTAGCGAACACTCGTGCCACATTCATCCGTGAACGCCTCCCCCTCCCCCCCAACGTCCAGAGTTGGCGGTGGGTCTGACGAGCTGCACCTCGACCGCAGTCTCCCCCGCGCGTGCCAACCTGGAGTTTGGGGGGCAGGGGGGGGGGTGTTCACTACTCGTTTCCCTCTGCCGTCTCTCTGCTCCCTTCTCCGAGCCAGATGGATCTCGGATGGTTTCCCGGGCCCGGAGCCGGGCGAAGGCGCCCGGCTCGAACAGAGCGAGGCGCCGGGCTCTCTGTCGGGGCAGACCCCAGAGGCTCTACGCCGCACCGACCATCGGAGAAGGAGGAGGAGGAGGAGGAGGAGGAGGAGGAGGAGGAGGAGGGGGAGGAGGAGGAGGAGGAGGAGGAGGAGGAGGAGGAGGAGGAGGAGGAGGTGCGACGCGGGAGCACATGCAGATCCGCACTGCCCTCCCGCGTGCGTTCCTCGGCAGCATTGGCAGGGCCTCCGCAGCAGCAACTGCAAGGGCCGCCGAGCCACTGCACGAGGCAGGTTGAATCAACCGTGGAAGGGCCAGCACCCGACCACGGGGAGGCCTTTGGGGTGAGGACCTCTTGGCCACGACAAGTCCCTTCTGCACGGTAGAGTCACGGTGAATCCGCGTCGCGATGACGTCGGCGCCAGTCTCTGACACCCCGCGGTTCGTTCAACCTTGAACGATCACAGCTTTCCAATAGGGCAGATCGTTCGCTATCGGCCGATTCTGGGCAACTGGCGGCGTTCAAACTTGAATGCCCGCAGTTGGGGTCACCGCCGCGGCAACGCGGCGCAAATCTGCTGTAGGATCCGAGGTTTCTGTTCATCCTATTTATCCTGCGCTTCCCTTCGCCCTTCCACGCCTCGGCGCCAGCCCCGCGACCTGCCGGCCACACCCAAAGACAAGTGCAGACCTGGGCCACGTTTTGCTTTGCCCGCCAGCAGGGCCATACATCGACACATCCTGTTGCCCAACCTGCCGTTCAAATGAGGAGCTGCCCCTTCGCCGAGCCAAGAGGGAACGATGGGCGGGGGCCAGATCAGGAGGGGCAACATCGAGCCTGAGTCGGGGATATGCCGTTAAAAGATCGGCGATAGTCTCCCGATACCGAAACCGCAAGCTCGTGTGAGGGGTGTGTTCCTTTGATGGGGTGGGCAATTGAGGGCCTCTGTCGGCGATGAATGGGCGTTTGGGGGTCGATGCTTTTCCATCAAGCAGCCCTACAGATTTCCTCGCATATCACATAATGCGTCCCCGCAGTTCCGCCTCTTCCGCAGGCAATACCTACCAGGATGCAGTCACGCCAGTTATAGCTTTCTTGTGAAATCTGATGCTCCCTGTCTGCTGATCCACCACAACGGCCTGAGGCACGCGATAGATAGAAGGCCACTTCCATCAGTGAATGGCTCCTTGTCGGAACAGCACCAGCGCACAATGTATGGAATTCACCGAACAGTGGCTGCCGGCGCTAATGGGGCCAAGATTGCACACACATATCCATCAACATCCCATCTGCGCCTACAACAACGAGGAAAGAAAATTAATGGGGGAAAACATCCGGGAGAAAAAGAGCACCCACCTGGCCCCCTCCCCAGAGGAAGGAGGGGCACAGGTGGGGATACTTGTTATACCGATGATGAAACACATCTTCGCGATCGGGGTCCGAAACACTCTCGCCCAGCCCCGGAGGGAGGAAAACGGCCAGGTAGGGGGACACGTCATTCATTTCTAATTGAGTTCATTTCTAATTGTGCTCGTTTCTAATTGTTCCTGGCCCTAGTGGCCAGGAAGAGGCCCAGGATAGAACAATTAGAAATGAAGGGATTTTGGCCCCCAAAAAATCAAAGAACTTCCGAAGACATAGAAATGAACAATGTGTATGTGTCCGAGCGTCGGCGGCGCCTCGGACATATGGACGAGTGCGATTAGCGACAAAAGACACAGGATCCAATGCCGAGCGATCCTTCAGAATCTCGGGGTCGTCGCAGATGCTCTCCACAAACACAGGGGTGAGCCCGCTGCCTTTGCCGCACCGCTGGACGATCTTGGCTCTCCGCTTCCTGCGCGCAGTGGGCAGGGCAGCGGACAGGGTCGAAGAGGAAGCAAGGAGGATCTGTGGCAAGCGACAACGCCTGCACCCGACACAGGAGTCGACAGCGTCGCAACAAAAAGAGGCGGGTCACAGAGAACTCCGATGCGTCAAAATTTCAAAAAGTTCTTCTCACGCAGACAGCTCTCCTCGATCGATTCTTGCCGCAGGGGCTCTTACTGCGCTTCCCGAGTCGTTGGCTGGCGTTCCCTGGGCTTCGCCTGGCACCCACCCGTGGGCGGGCGCCACGTGCTCTGGCGTTATTTTGCTCCCATCCTGCTTAAAGACCACATCCCAGAAATAATTTCGAGCACCTGGAAGAGTGTCGAAGGAGTGCCGAAACAGTGTCGGAGCAGTGTCGGACGAGTGCCTCCCAGGGCCCGACACGCGAAAACCCTCGAACTTCGGTACTTTTTATTCTGGTGCTCAAAGTTCTTTCTGGTGATCAAGGCTAAAGGAGGTTGGAACCTCATAGCTCTGGCGGGCAAATTCCAGATTCTCGCGGGGCGCCCGGGTGACCACGACGACCACGTCGGCGCTGACGACGACGCTGACGACGCCTGCGACGACGACGACGACGACGACGACGACGACGACGACGACGACGACAACGGCGACGAAGAAGGCGACGAGGATGACGATTACGACGACGACGACGATCAAAGGCAGCGAGGCGGAATATGGGGAGCCCCCGTTGCAATGCCCCGGGGGAGCGCCGCGGGCAGCGCCCAGTGGCCGCCAACGCCTGCTCGTGGACGCCGCGCGCCCTGGCCGACGCCTCCGGGCTTCTCTGCGCGCGGCCGGCGCCCCGCCCGCGGGCCCCTCGCGCGCGCGCTGGCCCGCGCTGCTCCGGGCTCTCCTTGGGGGCGGCGCCTGTCCGTCCACCTGACTACCTACCAGACCACCCCAACCCAACCCGAAGACCCGAATTTGACCCGAATTTCGGGTTGGGGGGGGTACGGATACCACGTGTTTTCTCAACGTTCCCCGACCCCCCCCCACTGGAAATCGAGGATAAATTTGGGCCTTCGGGTTGGGTTGGGGTGGTTTGGTGGGTGGTGACCACCGGCGTGGTCGCGGAGAGCTCCAGCGCGTCAGGCATGGGTGGCAGAGGGGGACATGTGCCAGTACGGTAGGTTCTCTCCTCGGGTGCCCACGTCCGGCCCGGACATGTACTCCAGATCTCGTAAGAAAAGGGAGGGTTTGCAAAAAACGAAGGAAGGATTGCAAAACAACGAAGGAAGGATTGCAATAAAAGGGAGGGTTTTTTTGCAATCCTTTGTACTCCAGATCTCGTAATAAAAGGGAGGGTTTTTTTGCAATCCTTCGTTCAAGGGAGGTTTTTTTTTTGCGACCCTCCAAGACAAGCCATTTCAGACCCCCCCCCCCCCGTGGGAGAACCCTCCAAAACATCGTCCCCAGACCCCCCCAGGGCCTCCAAGAGAGACCCCCCTCCCTTTACTACGAAATCTGGAGTAGGATGCCCATCTTGTAGTGGATCGTTTCCCGAGCGGTGTGGCCAGAAGGCGCCCGCCACGACGCATATACTATAGGATTTCTCGGTGCGCGCGTCGCCCCTGGGGGACCGACCGTCCCGGCATTCCTATAGTCCTGCCAGGAAATGTTCTTAGAACCCAAACATGTTCTCATAACAAGCATACTATGTTCTTAGAACCTAAGCCCGGTGTGACAAGACAAGACAGGCTCCGCCAGTAACGTTCTAAGAACATGTCGTGGAAATCAGAAAAGGTTCCTAGAACATTGTTTGGTTGGGCTATAGGCGAGCCAGGACGCTTCGCCACTGCTAGAGTCACGCAGCGCCGCGAAAACCAAAAGCAACATACATAGGCAGGCCATGAAAAATTGAGTCAGCGGCCCCCAGCATCCCTGGCGCCCTGCAACCGCGATAAGGACACGGCGGCTCCAAGAGAGTACCCAGACGGGAGACCCGAACGGACATTTCGAGCCCTCGGCCTGAGAAACTCCCAGGAAGCGCCAGGAAGCCCCCAAGAGGTCCCCAAGAGACCCCCAAGAGGCCCCTGGGAAGTCCCAACAGGCCCCCCAAAGGCTTCCAAGAGGCCCCAAACTATCCCCCAGAGGCCCCGAGAGCGCTCCGAAGAGACCCCAAGAAGCATCCCTGTCGTCGTCGCAATCGTTTAGGATCGGCGGCACTGGCCGTAAGACCTCTCCAATAAAATCAGCGGCCCCCAGCAACCTTGGCGCCCTGCCCCCACGACAGGGGCACGTTTAGGGAAACCTGGCGCACAAGGTGCACAGAGGCCATGCAGGCAGCCCAGCCAAACCCGGATAGCCACGTCGCCCTGTCCACAGAAAGCCTTCAAATCGCATCGGTGCATGGATTCGTCCGATCTAAACAGACGGAAACCCGTGCACTGGCATAGTTGGCCAACAAGGGAACCCCCTGTAGGACATCCGATGTGGATTACACACATTTGCGAGTGGGTGCGCTGCACCGGCCCTTGGAAGTAACGCTTGTAGATTGCCTAGGAGAGGCAAAGGTAGCACCCACGGCTCCCCGTGGCGCGCGGGTAACGCTCTACGCGCCCTTTCGCAAGGAGGTTGATTCCTTCGGGGCCCGATCAACATTGGAAAAACCATTTGGGTGCATGGATTCACTCCCCCGAGTCTTCTCTCCAAGAGTTAGTATCTACCACCACCACCACCCGAGGCTGGGGTTGACGACCCCCCCCTCCGCGCATTGCGTTTTTTCCAAATTTCTTCCGCTCGGCCGCCCATCTGAACACCAAACAATAGCATGCCAGCCAGCCATTACCTGAAGCCATTACCTGCAAACGCACATTGTGTGGTGCAGATGCGGTGATATAAACACTGTGATGGTCAAGAAGCCCCTGCAACAAATGCATCCAGGGACACACGCGCGCGCCGCCGCGCGAGCACGCTACTAAAATCCTTCAAACCCCATCGTCGCTTTGCCAAACAATGCAGACATTTCTATCCAATAGCTATCAAAAAATCCAACAAAAAATCAGCGTGCGCGCGCAAGCACGCGATTTCGTTGAAGCCGTAGGGAACACATGAGCGTTTAGACATCCTGTCAAATCAAATCATGCGGGCCGTTTGTGGGCGTGTCCGCGCGCGCATGTCGAAATCCATCCAACACCACTGGACCCCTGACAAGTTCGGGTCCCAAGAGGCCCCAGATCCCACAAGAGTCCCAAGAGGGCTCAAAGGGGCGTTGAGGGCTCTGTCCATGTCCCCGTTGTCCTCCTCCTCCTCCTCCTCCTCCTCATCCTCCTCCTCCTCCTCCGCCTCGTCCTCGTCCTCGTCCTTGCCCTAATCGTTTTCTTTTTCGTTTATCTCCTCTTCCTCGTCGTCGTGGTCGTCGTCGTCTTCATCCTCCTCCTGCTCCTCCTCCTCCTCCTCCTCCTCCTCCTCCTCCTCCCCCTCCTCCTCCTCCCCCTCCTCCTCCTTCCCTCGCCCCCACGCGGGCCCCAGGGATGACCGGAAGAGGCCCTCCCAGGCCACCCCCTTGCTCCCAAAGATCTCTCTGTTCATCGTGGTTGCCCGCTGTGGTTCACTACATGTGTCTCGTCGTCCATTTTCACAGCAACTCTCATGGGCAAGGTTTCTGAATGGACTGTTGGGGATACGCGAAGCGTGAATAGTTAAGACACACATAGATGAGTTTATAGGTGTTGTGCCGGTCGCCCATTCGAAATACGAATACCATCCCATCCAGTCCCCTTACAAGTCCACTGATCGACGCCCCTGAAATTCCTGCCAGAGAGGCAGCACTCTTCGGGACACGCGCTTTCATCCGGCAAATGCATGTCCAATGAGTTCTAACATATGACCTTGCGGGCCACACGCGCACACATGCCAACATCCGTCAAAAACCGCCAGCTTCACATGTGTTGTATTTGTTTGCAGAAGCGATACAACACGATTGTGTTTTACGCGCGCACTTGCTGAAACATATGAGTTGTTCATACACATCCCGTCCAGGATCCATTCGAGAGCCTTCAACACAATGATTTCCGCTGCCCCCCCATCACCCATGCCACCGAAACCCGGCGGGCCAGACGCGCGCGCAGGTGCCAACATCTTACGAAACCAATAAATGAAATCATGCTGGGCCAAACGTGTAGACTCAATCATTTCTGTAAGAAGTATGCCTGTGACATGTTTGGCCAGCTCGCAGCTGCTGAAGCCAAAACCATCTGTCTCCAAGAATACTATCCCGAACCCGTTCAAAACCACTTGGTTTGTGAAAAGCTGAAAGCTCGAAGTCTCGATGTTCTTCGAAATCCTGGTGCGAGGGGGGGCAGTTGTGGATCTCTTTAGCTTTGGATCCCAGAAGCAGTTCGTAATGTGTAAGCCTACGCATCGCGAAGCCAGTCGCTCGTGCATCGCGGGTTTACTCATGAGCTCATGCATCGCATTGTTGTTTTCCACGGGCGGCTGGGCTTAGTCAACAAGTTGCGGGGGGTGAGGCGGGATGTTTGCTCGAGCAGGGGAAGGGACGACTTCAGGCTCTTCGTCTAAATCGCGCAACACGTAGAGATTGCACCACATGGCTTTCAATCCACAGCTTGCAGCACCTAGCATGGACAGGAGAGATTGCACCTTACACCTTGTGCCACCCATTGAGGTTGCATCGAATGTATTGCACCGCATAGCTTGTAAACACACAGGCTGCATCATGCAAAGATCGACCCGCACATATTGCACACTGAGGGCTCAAACCCAGCTGATCGGGGCAGCACCGCTCCGCCTGCTTACTCTGCCCTTGACACACCTGCTTACCGTTGACACGAGGCGGCCTCCAAAAGACGTCGAGACGGCCCCCGCTCTGGTCGGCATCGACGCGGTCAGGGAGGCCCCCTTCGAGGGCCGTTTGAAAGGGCCCAGGGAACCCGGAGACAGCCCCAGGGCAGCCCCGAGGCGACCCATGGGCGTCCCTGGATGGCGCCGGGGCAGCCAACCGCGAGGAGCAGGAGCAGGAGCAGGAGCGAGCGAGGAGGCGAGGAGGCGAGGAGGGAGACGGAGACAACGGGGGCGGGCCCAGACGCGAAGGCGCGATGCGGCCAGGGTGGCGCGCGACCGCCCGTTGCCATGTCTCCGAGACCCAACGTCTTGAACCAACACGCCGATGTGGACAACCAAGACCAGCAGTCTCGGCCCCAGCTTTCTGCGGCGCTTCCCGGACTGGATCGGTCCGTGGGGGGCCCCCTGACCTCGAGCGAGAGCGCCCGCCGTGTTTTTGCGCGCGGCGCCCGGACATGACGGATCCTTCCTTCGCTGGCCCGCTTTAGAAACGTTGCATCCTAAATGGTACCACCTCCGGAGGACAACATTCCACCAACTTCCGCCGACCTTACGCCGGCTTCCGCTGGCGAAGCCGCCCTCGCTTGGCTTCCGCCAGCCTGCCGCCGAACCTCGCTGCGAGGCCCTGGTGCCTGGCACCACGAAATTGCCCATTCCACGCGTCACGCCAGGCAAGAACTCAGATCGCGCCCGCGCCTGGTGGTGTTGGTGGCGTCGAAGATCGCAACGCACACACCCTGCTGCTCCTCCGCCGGCGTGCGAAGGGAGGAGATGGAGGTGTTTAGAAGAGGAGGGGAGGTGAGAGAGGTAGACACACACATATATATATATATACATATAGAGAGAGAGGGAGATAGACAAAAAGAGAGAGAGAGAGAGAGAGAGAATTGGCACTAGAACCACACGCGCGCTTCGCGCGCGCTTAGGTTCCCGCCGGGAGCCCCGGCACCCCCGTGGGGGAATGGGCCTGCCCCCCCCCACGCGGAGCTCTTGGGAGGCGTCGCGAGGCCGCCGGGAGCCCCAGCACCCCCCTGGGGAATGGGCCTGCCCCCCCCCAGGCCCTGGAACGCGGGTTATATTGATACATGTATATGAATATGTATATATATATACATACATACATACATACATACATACATACATACATGCATGCATGCATGCATGCATGCATACATACATACATACATGCATATAGATATACACACATACGTGTTAGCCAACGTGGACCAGATACAGTGAATTCTTCCACGGTGACTGCGTACGTTGTGTGGTGCAAGCTCTGTGTGGTAAACTGTGTGGTGCAGTCTGCGTGGGGCAAGCTGGAGGCGGCGGCGAATTGGCAACGGGCGGCTGCGTGCGACAACGCGGCGGACCCACCAAGCGCAAGAGGCGGCAACGAGGCGCCCAAGGGCGGCAACGGCGAGACCTCGGCGGACATCGCAAGCACGCTGGGCGGCATCGAGGCGCCCACGGGCGGCGACGCGGCGGCACCTCGGCGGACTTCCCAGGCGAGGTGGGCGGCAACGCGACGCCCACGTGCGGCAACGTGGAAAACCCTCGGCGGACCCCCCCCAAGCGCGCCCAGCGCGGCAACGGAGCGCCGTCTGGCGGCCACGTGGCCAAACCTCGGCGGACCCCCCAAAAGCGCAGTGGGCGGCGAGGAGGCGCCTATGGGCGGCAACGTGGCGAAACCTCGGCAGCATGCATGCATACATACGTACAGACAGACAGGCACACAGGCATATATACTTGTATACAGACATGCCAACATACATACATACCTACATACATACACATGCACACCTACCTACCTACCTCCCATGTATCTAGCTACATACACCCGTATAGACGTAGATGCATCGATTTGAAACTACATGCAAACACATCCATACATGCCCACCTACCCACCTATCGACCTACCTATCTGCGTGCATGCATGCGTGCAAACATACACACATTACATACATACAGACAGACATGCATGCATCCATATATGCATGCATACATACATGCATACATGTGCATATGCATACCTACATGCATGCATGCCTGCAACCATACATACACACATGCATACAACCATACACAACTGCATATAAGCACACATTTATATATGCATGCATACATACATGCATGCATACATGCACACAAACGTACACGCATACATGTATGTGTACACACATCCATGCATAACTAAGTGCATGCGCACATGCAACCACACATACACGCACACATGCATACACACGTACATCCAGCTATGCATTCATGCACACATGCGTACAATCATACCCATACATACATATACCTATACCCATCCCCATACCCATACTCACTCATACACATACACATACACATACACCTACACCGACACATGCACATCCGCATACAACTACACGCAGGCATGCAGGCATACATACACACATGAATGCATGCTGTATAAACACATAGACCTATATGTATGTATATGTTTAATGTATGAATAGGATTACTGGCCGGGGATAGGGGGCTGCAAATGGTGCCAATTCGAAACATTGCTTTAAAACGCGAGGCGTCGACGATCCGTCCCGTCGCCGTCCGAGCCACACCTGGCGCTACATGGTGACTCTGCCTCGCTTACTGAGCAGCTCGCCGCAGTAGCCTGCGTACTGGAAAGAAACCTCGGAAGCTGGGAGTTGGGTGCAATGCTCGAAGATCCACTCGCGGCACCTCGGGCGCCGCGCGTGCGTCTGGGAGGTGGGCGAAAGCGCAACTGATACTGGAAACTGGTCCCGCAGAAGGGACGGGTGGTGTCGGCGAAAAGGTCCGAATGGTCGCGTTCCCTCTCTCCGTGCTTCGCACGGCGCTGTCTCTTGAGGGCGCGTTCTTCGTGCCGCGAAGCACTGAGTGAGTGCCCTCAGGTCCCTTACAGTCCTCTGTATGAGATGTTGGAAAACTCCTTCAGGGCCCGCAGCTCCAAATTCTGGGCGCTGCTGGGAGCTCTTGGGCGTCCCTGGGCTTGTCGCGTGGTGTCGCGTGACTTTTCCGCATGCACGAAGGCTCACAGACTGGCCAAGAGGGCCCCGGGAATTCCCCGAGAGGGTCCAGGAGGCGTCCAAGACGGCCTGAGAGGGCGCAAGAGGCTCCCAAGATGCCCCATTGAAGCTCCAAGAGGACTCCTTCGAGGTCCCCGAGAAACCAACATCATTTATGTTGCTTCGATGTGGTATGATTGTTGCGTTCTCGCCGTCTCTGACTTTGGACGTTCCAAGACGACCCAACAGGCCCAAATGATCGCCTCAAGACGGCCCAAGAGGCCTCCAAGATGGCGCATCCTCTTCCTCCTCCTCTTCCCTCCTCCTCCTCCTCCTCCTCCTCCTCCTCCTCCTCCTCCTCCTCCACTCTTTCTCCCACAAGTGTTCCCCCAAGGGCTTCCACACCGGCTGGAGGAGCACAGTCCAATAGCTTGGCCAAGCTTCGGGCCGACGTTTGGCCA